CCCCAAAACCCCAAAACCCCAAAACCCCTCGCTTCTAGGCCAATATTGAACACATATAATTCCCTAAATTTAGGCTATAAAATCGTGATATTTTAGGTAGAATTATAGTTTAAGAAGGGTTTGAAGGCTTCATTTGTTCAAGAAAACTTCCGATCCAGGGATGTTTGAAGGCATCATCACAGTCCATCCGATCTGAGGGATCCCAGGTCAGTCATCATCGGATGAAGTCAATGAAATCTGCATTGTCTGTTTTCAGGAATTTTTGGATTGTTTTACTATTAGGAACAGTGTTTCGGTCTTTATGTGTCACAAGCTATAATTTTCATACATAAATCTTACAGTTAACGGCTTTCCTTCAGAGTCATAGAACTTTTTCTTCGTCGAGGACTTGTCCAGAAGATCCTTAGAAGGGACTCCCAAGTACTCCTGAATTGACAGCAGCAGCTCCTGTTCGTTCTCTCATGGAAATATCGGGTATCCAGTATGTAGCTCGCACAGGATGCATCCGAACGACCAGATGTCTATCTCTCGGCCGTATGGCAGCCCCAGGACGATCTCTGGGGCTCTGTAGAACCTTGATTGGATGTAGGTGTATATTCGTTTGTTCGAGAAGCAGCCGCTTCCGAAGTCAATCATCTTGATTCCACTTTTGTTGAGTTTATTTTAGTAGAATATTCTCTGGCTTAAGATCTCAATGAATGACCTTGTTCTTCTTGCAATGGGCAAGAGCGAGTAAGATCTGTATGGCGAACCTCTGAATGACGGGCATCTTGCAACCTTTGAAATTATTGAGCTTTATGTACTCATAGAGGTTGATCGAGAGTAGTTCAAATACGATGCAGAGATGGCCACGGAAGATGAAGGAGTGCTCCATCCTGACTATATTCTTCCGATCTTTCTCATCAGTCTCGTTGAGTTTATTTAAGTAGGGCTACCTCGACTTTCCCTTGAATGTGGAACCGCTTATTTGTTCTTGATCACTTTTAGGGCAACGTTTCTTTTATGCTTGTGGTCGAATGCTTTGATTACTTGGCCGAAAGATCCTTTACCAAGGCTAGAGGGATGACTAAGTCTGGCTTACCTATCTACGATTTCATATCTGTACAGAATATGCTCACCAACGATGAGCTTGTAGTCAGACTTCTCATCGTCGTACTCTATAGTGCCTTGGTATGCGAACTTCCGGTCTATGACTCTCTGGCTTAGGTTGAAGTAATATAGAGTCTCGTAATACTTAAGTTCTTCTATTTCTTGGGCGATCAGCACTTTGCTTAGTACTTCTAGGTTCTCCTGGACTTTTAGAGGGAACTCAAGGGAGCTCTTGGCGTCACTCAGAGGCTTGATTGTTGAATACTGAGGAGGCTTATCTAATGTCCTGGGCTTGGTTGATAATTTCTCTTCCTCATTAAGAGTTCAAAGATCCTTATTATCTTCCTTTTTGCCATCAAATAAGTTCTTGAGCCTAGTTTTTGGACTCTCTGGTTGCTTTTTATTGTTAAAAGTTGATTTATTCTTCTTGGGCTTTCGAATGCTTGGAACTGAAGCTTGTTGTTCTAAAATTTGACTGTTTTCTTGTCTGTCTTCCTTCAGGAAACTTTCTTGCTGGTCAAAGATAGATTGGCTGACGAGGAGGTTATCCTTTGTCATGCTTGTTGGATTATTAGTTGAGTCCATATGGATGATTTTATCGTCTCTCTCATTTTTGGGTTTAGAGGTTTTCTCCATTGACTTGTTCTTGTTGAGCTTACTTTTGTTCATGGTTTTGAAGACCTATGAGGATGATTTGGTGATAACTCACCTTAATTTTGTGATGATTCTTGTCATCAGTACTAATCTTAGCTTCTCTTTCTTCGATGATCATGGGCTTTTGGTTGATGCTCTTACCCAGTTCCTCGAAGACAGCTGACTGAAAGAGCTCTGTTTTATCTTGGGTATCATTCTGATTGTTCTGCTTCATGACCGTTTGTAGGGCGACTTGAGATCCAGTCTAGATGTTAGATGGAGGGTTACCTTTCCCATAGAGACTTTATTTGAAAAAGCTGTATTTCAATTTTGACTTCTGCTTGCTCTTCTTGTTGGACGATATTTTGGTGAGGGTAGAGCTAAACTTGGTTTTTGGAGCAATTTCGATCATATTTCGGTTCATTTTTGAAGTTGCGTTGACTTTTAACTTTGAAAATTGGGATTTATTGATCTTGGTGCCCTTTTTAGGAACTTTTTCGTTCAGGAAAACTGGTCTTAGGTGTGGTGGATGCTGAATACTTCATTTTCTTCGAGGCTGGAAATAATTTTAGGACTTAAAATTTATTTTTCCGCAGGAAATTTAAGAGTTTTGAGCGTACCTGAACTCCCATTTTTGAGCCTGTCTTCTGATATTACAACTTTGAACATATTCAGGTTGTTGATCTGGTTGATATTATTCACTGTTTCTGTATTGATCATGCTCTAAAGTTTCAGGTTAAGATTGGAGTTCAAGCTGCTTTCTCTGTAGAATTATGTATCCCTAATGAGTTTCATAGGGGGGGTTGGAGTAACTTATGTCAAATATTAGGCCTATTTACTGGAATTATTCAATAAGAAGGGTTCAGTACAAGTTATTCTGGGAATATAGACCAGTTGCAGTAAGATTTTGGACATCAAAGGACAACCTTCTTTTTGGGCCCATTAATTATGAGTACCTAGCTGAACTCACTGCTTGGAGTGTATTCCTTGTGGAATGTAAATTATGAGTGGAAAATATGGGTTATTATAAATTTGGGACATATTCTGGTGAATAAGGTAACTTTTTATAAAATTTTGCCTCAAAGGCCTTAAAATTTAGTTTTGGGATCGACCAGAATCACATGGTTTAGGACTGGGGTAAGCTAAATATGAGCTGATTTAGCCTGGCTGCTAATAGAGTATACTGGGTCTAGCTTTGGGTACAACTCTTACTACCTGATTTTAACCCTTAATAAGGAATGATGTTAGTTATTAACTAGCATTAAGGTTGAATCTGAAATACTGACTTACTCCTGAATTAGCAAATATTATCTTGGAGCTTTGAGAAGGGCTTTCAGAGATTCTGCTTAGAAAATCAGAGTTTATCTTCTTGCTGATAGATTTTTGGGAGCTGATGCCACTATTGTACTGATTTTTTGTGCTATTTTCCTAGTTTGGAGCATGCACTGCCGGATTTCATGGTGGAAGTAACCTGTTTTGGGGAGATAGTGTTCCTTTGTAATGAATCCCGAAAATAGCCTTGTTTCGAAGAAGGTGTGTATCTGTTATTTCAATCCTTGTACTCTAGTTTTGTTTGGTGATATGCTCAGGTTTGGAAATCTGCTGCTGTTCTGGATCTTGCCAAATCTAAGGAAAAAGTTTAACAGTTAATAAAAGCCAAGGTTTGGAACATTGAGAGGATACCTACCTGGATTTATCAAAATAAGTGCTGTAGCTTTTAGGGATATTCGGGATGGTCATCTTTGTGTATCCATCTTTACTTTTACGCTTTTGTTTTACTAAATTGACAGATTTATGACTTTGGAACTTCTTAAATGACTATCTACCTGGTGCCTAGGGTAAGAAAAGGTGGTTACGAAAAATATAGAGGGCTTACACTTAGTATATTTGCTTTTCTCAATACTTTTACTGGAATTTATCTGAGAATTCATCTGTTTATGGCCAAATTTCTTCTTACTTTTGGAGGAGCTTCCTTGGTTCACACCGAAAGCTCGCTGGAGCTCAAGTCTTGAGGGCAGGACATGGAGGGAGGCTCCAATGTTCAACTTGCGTCTCCGCAAGTTGAAGTTGCTGCCACTCTTATTGCCTAATTTTAGGTTCTTCATCCCTGGCTCTTTTCAGGTAAATTATTATTTATGAAAATGGCAATTTTATATTAAGTTATTGGGGTTTTGGGGTTTTGGGGTTTTGGGGTTTTGGGG